AGGAATGCAGGCACTAAGCTGAATCCTATCTCAGGGACTGAATTTCTTGTTGAAGGGATAAGCTCAGTCGGACTTGGCTGAAGCTGCAGGAGTGATGGGCAGTAGGATGCCAACTGTGCCTCCCAACAGGCGGCAATACCTACCGGGGGGCACGGAACAAGTTTTGACAGGAGTCCTGCTTTGGGTGCAGGACGCCGCTCTTGGAAGAAGCCCTCTCCAGAACTGGTGGCCTTTCACCAGGCCTAGGGTGAAAGACTTTAGAAAGACTAAAGATCTTTGGGCTGCTCTTCAGTATCAGTTTAAAAAATAACAGCTTGGGAGACACCCCTTGTGCCAGATGGGAGTAGAGTCTGCCCTTCCCTCAGAAAACAGGGAAGCAGCTCTGACGCTTGCAGGCAGGACCTTCCCAGCTCTGGGCAACCAGGTCTTTTAGCAAAGATGCTACTGTAACAGGTCTGGCTGTGGGCAACGGATATGGAGCTCTGGCGAATTTGGAACGTGGAGCTCTGGCTAATGTTGTGTCACTGTGTTGGACTATTTTGGGTTTTTTTAAAGGTCTTAAAATGCTACTCCTAGGGCATCTTTAATATTGCAGGAGCTGATTGCCTGGACACCAGAGAATGAAGCAGAATGAACAGATTTACCATTCAGCCAGACCTGTGTTATCTCCTTTCGTAACAGAAAAATACAAGAGGCAGAGCGAGCAGTTCCCTTGAAGGTGGGATTCACCCCATAATAAAGGTATTATTATATGCTTTAGCTCTAACACAAGGCAGAGAGCACTTAAAGCCCAAGGAGCTGTAAGGTCATACTTGATTAAAAAGAAAAGCTGCTCATTAAGAAAAGACCTGCCTCCCTACTCCCTCTTTTTAAAGAAACAAACGAAACAATTCCTAAGACTACAAAAAAAAAAAAAGAGTGTTGTTTTCATGGCAAAATTTTAAATGAAGAAATTAAAGAGAAAAGGCAGACTTTGCTAGTACCTTAAGACTGAACTACTGCCATCGCTGAGAACAGCAAAAATGTTCTAAATTGTATCAGAAAGCAATCAAAAAGAACTGATGAGCACCCTGCTCTTCGTAGAGTAATGTAAGCGCAGGGCACAGCCCTGTGTGCCCCTGGACAGAGGCTGAGAGATTGGGCTTTTTCCATTCTGCAAGGTAGGAAAAATTTTTTCTTCAGTATCTCAAAACAGGCAGCAAAACATTGAAAGAACCAAACACAATCTTCAACATATATAAAATACCTATTTTGATATGCATGCTTCCAAGGTATGCAGAGTCACAGAGATGATGTTTTATAAAAATAACATAATTCAAAATGCTTCATAATTTCTCCACACCCCCGGCCATAGCCCATCAGTGTTTCTGGTTCAATTCCTGCATTCACAATCCAGAATCAATTACATGAGCTTTTACTTTTAACACATTAACCACATACTTAGGCCCAGAGCATCCTTCTGCAGATAGGATATCCAGTGTAGAAAAGCCATCAACCTGTCTTAAAAATCATCATTCTGCGTCATTCCTAATTCACAGCGTACGTTTGCTCCCATTCAATTCCAACGTGAGCGTAGCAGTACAGGAACCCGAGAACAGTCAGTGTCGCCCATGGCCAGCCTATAAATAGAAAGACAGACAATCCTAGTCATAATAATTAATGACTGCTTCAAGTAGAAATACTCTTGGGATGACCAACTTATGACGCTTCTAATTAATTTTATTAGCAATTCAGTCTCATAAGCAAGTAGAGCCATCCCACAAAATCTGAAAGGGGAAATCTGGACTGTTTGAGCTTCTGGAATTCCTGACCCTCTGCAGTCCTCATCTTTTCCATTTTCAGGGAACTGGATCAGGTTTATTCGTGCTCTGCACCTCCAAATGATACTTGCCAAATTAAAGAGGTCTGCTTCAATCCTCTCCTTTATGGTGGGTTCGTCTATCAAGCAGATCCCTGAACGAACCCTGATACTTTAAGCTGGCTATGGCGCTTCCTAGGCACAAAGGGATGCATAGCCACAATACAGGTTATTAAAAATCACAATAAATCCAGTTACCTGTTCTGCAAAAAGGGTCTGGGGAAACCTCTGATTAAGGCTCTTTTGGATACCCTGCAGCTGGGTGTAAAATTGGTGTACGGACTCTACAGCCCCGTAACAGCTAATGGGGTCAGAACACCATTGTGCCCATGCAGAACAGCCAGCCTTATTTGCCTGATGTGTTCTTGTTAGATTTTTTTTTTTTTAAACTAAAAAGACTAGCTCCTCTAATATATAAAACTTTTGCTGTGGACATGACATGTTTTTTCATTATTTCAAATCCTTTTTAGTGAAAGTCACCATCTTTTCACTTGAACCTTTCACAGCTAAAGCAGTAAGGAGGAGGTCACAAGCCAAAAGGTCTATTGCTTTCCAGTGGAGTTGCAGATCACTCGAAAAATCTGTATCTGTAGACTTCTGAATCAGGTAAAAGATTTTGCTTTTCTTGACACCTTTCCTGGCACCTTCGTTCCCTTCCTCCATCCTCCTCCTCCTCCCCTTAGAACTTATGAAATGTAGAGTTTATAGGTTGAAAGCCCCAGCTTTAGGCCCTAGTGTTCTTCTGTGTGTTTTGTCTGTGGGAAGGGGGAGGGAGGAAGGTGTTTGAGGGGTTTTTTTTGGTGGCTTTTTTCGTTGTCGTTGTTGACATAAGAATTTTGGTTGTGTGTATGACTGGTTTTCTTCACACCATCCTCGAACTACCAGCAGCTGCTTCTGAAAGAAGGGCTTCAGTGCTTGCTCTTGGGGAAAACTCTGGTCTGAAGGAACCTGCTAGCAGAACTGAGATTCTCTACTGGCCTGGAGAAGAGATGGAGAGAAGATGTGACCTCTCCACAACACGATACTCCAGGAAGAGCTCTTTCTGAAGCTTTTTTACAAGGTATTTTGGAGGCTGACTTTGTCCAGATTTCAAGCTGATGCCAGTCTGGAGACTGTTTAATTGTGCTGATGTCCAGCTGAGCCTTAGCTGAACACCCTGCCCTCAGCCAGGCTCACTGCCTTAGGCTCGGTCCTGTGCTTCTGCGGACCGCACGTGCTGGGACCCTTCCTCCGTGCTCTGAGAGCCAGGGCAGTGTATCACTTCACTCTGAAACAGGTCCAGCAAAAGTTACCTTTTTTGACCTGTGAAGAGCTGTAAGCTTGCTTCATGAATCTCTAATTGTTCTGGCCTTGTTTTGTGGTGAAATAGTCTTGCAACCTCAGTGATTTTCACTGAGACATTTACAAATATTAATCGCTTGTCCTCACAACACACTAAAGCAAAATTATACTTTTTGTTTAATTCACAAAACAAAATTGCTGAGTTATTTCCAAAGGGATTTTTAACAATAAAATAGTCTTGTTTTTTCTTCAGTGAAATTAGGCTACTGTAGATTGGGTTTCACCTTCAACAGCAAGCTAAAGCCCAGCTGTGCTTTGTCTCTGATAAAATTGCATGCGAAAGCATGTCAATAGATGTAATAAAAACATACCTCTTCTGGCAGCAATATCGTGGTGGGTGCTTTATACAGACAAAGCCAGAAAGATAAAAAAGGACTGAGTCTAGAAGTGGTTGGGGATTTTTTCTTTTTTTTCTTTTGAAAGGGCACTTTTGGAAATCTTGCTAGATACATATTTTGCATTTTTATATAATTTAAAGCTCTGGCACACAGAAAATGGGCCAACAGTTGTCTTTAGTCTGACTTGTTTGTTATCCCCAGCCAAGATATAAGAGATCTTGTTGGAATACGTAGGCAAGCACTGGAAATCCTTCCTAGATGCCTTAGATTTATGGTAAGATTCCACCATAGTGGCCACAACCTGGCTTCAAGGGGCTCTCATGCCACTATAATCAGGTTTGTGGTAATCCTCCTGGAACGTAGGGATTCTCTCCTGTACAGTAACAGGTGCATTTGGAAATTACCTCCTCCTGATATAATTAAGATTACGAGGAAGGGGCATGACAACATGACCCACTACGGGCAAGGGAAAAGGAATTTTTAAAATTTAATCTTGCTACAGTTATTCTAGGAGAAGCTGCACAGCTTCCAAAGCATTTCTTGCTGCACAAGCAGGAGGCAGCCATCTCCGAGCAGGGCTGAAAGAGAAGGCAACTCTGCCTTGCTGGCCCGTTCTTGCCATACAGGAGCCAAATGCATGGCTGCTGGGGCTGGGGAAATGCATACAGTGCTTCTGCTGTGAGCAAAGCAAAGGCATCCTGTTCTGCTGCTGCAGAATCCTGGATTAGCTCCAGTCCACTCAAGGAGATTTGCACAAGTGCATCCACACCTGAGAAGCGGCCCAAGGACAGCCTGAAGCGAGCAGGGGATCTTTAAACTGTTTTTACTCATCTCTTCCTTTTTAGGATTGGATATAAAATAAACTTGTTGAAAAGACTGAAGAACTTGGTCTCCAGAAGGTGATGCTGTAGGGAAGGACACATCGAGCAATGCCGGTCCAGCAAGGACACAATTTCAAATTCTGCCTAGCATGTAAATGACCTGTGTGTCGTCCTTGTGTGTGATCTCTATAATTAAACAGCAGCATAAGATGCTCTCTTGCAAGATAAGTTCACAGGAACCTCCTCCTTGTTTAAACAGTTTCTTCTTGCAAACATAAACAGCCAAACAGTACTGATGGTCTCGGATCCCCAGTTCCAAGGAAATCCCTCTTTTCAACCTGAGCCAGCAGCATAAGGTACATTCTTCCCTCAGGCCTTTTGCTGACCCTCATTCTGCTCCTACCCTCAAACACAATTTCAGGGGCTCTTCTTTCCGATGGCTCCCCAGCTTTACCGTATCACCCTAAAACACTGCATCCTCATCTATGCTGCACCGTTCTTTAAACTCTGCTTGAAAGCATACGTGCCTGCGTTCTAGATCAGTATCTCTCTACAAAATCATATACATAAAATGTACTCTTAAAAACATTACTGGGGTCAAATCAAGCACTAAGCTGTTAGAAAATGACTGAGTTAAGTTTGTCTGTTCAAAACCATGTCACATGACGCCTTAAATCTTACAATTTCTTGACTGTCTTCAGTAATTTGATTTTAGGCTTGAAGGCGAAGTTTCATGACACAACTTGGATGTTCATAATCTTTGTTTGTGGAAAGGTGAATTAGTATTCATCGACAAATGCTATTTGTAAATCCAAGAACAAATTCAATATGCTACTTGCAAATGAGGCAAAAAAACACAAACTCCCTTCTGAAAAGGACTGCGAGTTCTGTGCTGAGGTAACGGCAGCGCTTTATCTGTCTATCGCACAACCTCCTCACAAAGAGTTCTCCAGTCCCAACTAGGCAGGAGACAACACTCTGTCACACACATCTGATCTACTGCCTAGTAGTCTTGCTGGTTTAAAGCTGTATTTTGATATGTTATGTACTCAACTTTCAGCATAATGGATAGGAGACTTGTTTTCATTACACGGTGAAAACAGAATTAACACTAACTGCAACAGGAGTAGCTTTTGGAGTTGCTCCTTGCTTTGAACTTCCTACCTCCTCTTCCAGAGTGCTTCTGGATACTCTGCAAACATCTAGAAAGGTCATGTTTCTGGCATGCTCTGGATTTCTGAACTGAAGGGAGTGGGGTAAAAATAAGCTTTAAACCCAAAAAGCCTGTATCACAGCTCTCAAAAGACTAGTTACATCCTCATTACCCCAGTTCAAATCATCTGAATCAACATTTAATTATGTATCTATAAGGAAGCTCTTTCAAATCTCCTAATCACCTACAGTAATGAAAAAGAATCACACCAGCAATGTTTTGGGCATACCCAGGTTTCACAACATTATCAAATAACTAGGAAACGGCCCGTTGTTCCCTCCAACCCGTGAGATGTAAGAGAAAGGGACAGGAGTTGCATTTTGCATTTTCCAAAACCACCTTAGTAGATTTGGGACTTTAATGCTATTTTCAGATGTGACTTGGCCACGCAGTCCTCAGAAGTCTTCAAGCACTGAGTAGTTATTAAATCAATAGAAGTCAGGAAAAATAATCTCTTTGAAAAGCTTGATTTCAGGAGCGTACATCTTACTCTGATTTCGAAGTACCTAAGCTGCTCTGAGACTTAGCACTCAGGAAAATTTATCCTCAAACAAAAGTTCGCATGTGACAAGACACTGAAGCAACTCCCCTGTAAAGTGGAATTAAGGAGACACAACTCGGGGGAGGAGGAGGAAGAGGCACCAATTTGTCAAGCAGAATAAAAAGCCAGAGCAAACCAGCATTTGAGGCCAAAACCTCTCTTAGCTACAATTACTAACATCCTTAAAAGATGAGTAAAACTGCCACAATTTCAGGAAAAATAACACATTCAAAACTAAAGATCAGTTGAAAGAAACCTATTATCTAGCCCAACATTTGAAGCAGAGTATAAACTCTGGATTTTTAAATTTTAATTTCAGGTCTGTTCAACACTTCCAGGTGGACTGCTGCTGACCATAATAGCAGGGCATGTCCAACAGCATATATTGAAAACACTGTGCAGTCTGACACCCAATTAGTCTTTAGGTATTTGGAAAAGGAAACTCTATATATTTTCAGCTGTGTTAGCATTCAGCACGCACATGTGAGACTGGATAACTTTAAAGCA